TTCCCACCGCGCACATGAAGTACTTAGGGGCCACGCTGTACGACACCGGGAACATAGAGGAGGAGTTGGGGAGAAGGTTGGGTGTTGCATGGGGGGAATTTCAAAGGTATGCGCAGGCGTGGAAGCATACGTCAATCAGTTTGAATCGAAAGTTGGAAGTGTTTGGGGCACTGATTACAACCAAAGTAATGTATTATTTAAGTAGCGCGTGGCTCAACAAAGCTGATAGACGCAGGCTCGATGGGTTCCAAGCCCGGTGCTTGCGTGTCATATTGGGCATCAAACCACCTTACATTTCAAGAGTGTCAAACAAAACCACACTGGAAAGAGCAGAACAAACACCTTACACAGCGCAGCTACTCAAGAGTCAATTGGCGTGGTTTGGAAAGATTTGTCGCAGCAGCGATGCAGATGTACTGAGACAACTTCCTTTTGTGCCTCACAGCGCGCGCCCAGCAACAAGCAATGTGAAAAGATCTCGTGGGAGACCGAGAAATGAATGGACAAAGTGTTTGTACGACAAAGTTAAGGATTGCTTCCAATCAGAACAGCGCCTACTTGAAGCCATCATGGACGAAAAAGCTTGGACAGAGTTTGCATCAAAATATAAGGACACATGCCCGTGAGCCCTGGCAGGCCGCTTTTCAACGCCATATAAATGCATTAATTTGTCAATCATCGTCATCGTTCTCCTTCTCCTCCCCTTCCCTCGTTCTCCCGGCACGCATTTGGCGCGTCGGCGCTGTCCTGTCGCGCGTTTGGCGCGTCTCCTGTCTGTCTACGCGTTTGGCGTTGCCCGCTCGCTCGCAGAGTTGTCCTGCCCACGCGCGTTTGGCGTATGGCTGCTTCGTTCGTTCGTTCCATCGCCCTTCCTTGCCAGGCTCGTAGCCATGGCGCACCGCCTCAGGGCACATCAATAACAGGGGATATGTCGAGCCCTATCCCATGCTTCTTGAGGTTTTCAAGCAGACCAAACACTTGGGGCCCAACCCTGGGATATGCGATGGGGGGGCGTCCATCCTCGATAGGGGTGTGTTCGAATAGCCCCCATGGGGTGTATCCCAGAGTTTCCCCCTCTTTTCTGAACGGCCAAACTTTTTCGGGCTGAACTCGGGGGTTGGGGGAGAACATTCGCCTGCGAATCAACAATACTGGCTGCGAACAGCCCAGAGCAGGCTCCAGAGCGCAGTGTACTCAAGCAATCGCCCTCTCGTTCTCTCTCTCTCTCTCTCTCTCCCTCTCTCCCTCTCTCTCTCTCTCTCTCTCTCTCTCTTTGGGTGCGCCCAAGAGGAGGGGTGCGCATCATGGCCAGAGGCACATGCGCGGCGCAAGGGCGTCCAGAAGACGCGTTGACTTAAGAAGAGAAGCCATGGAACCCGTGAAAATATCACGGCCCCAGTAATGATATCCCCCCCCCCGCCTGGTCTTCACCCCCCCTCTTGACCGCCCCCGATATCTCTCTCTCTCTCTCTCTCTCTCGCTCTCTCTCTCTCTCTCTCTTTCTCTCTCTCTCTCTCTCTCTCTCTTTCTCACTCTCTCTCTCTCTCTCTCTCTCTCTCTCTCTCTCTCTCTCTCTCTCTCTCTCTCTCTCTCTCTCTCTCTCTCTCTCTCTCTCTCTCTTTCTATCGCTCTCTCTCTCTCTCTCTCTCTCTCTCCTCCCCTCGGAGGATGCCAATTTCGGCTACACTCTACAGTGACCCTGGGTAAGAGTGACCCTTGGTGCGCGGCTTTATGGGGGCCGCGGGGGGACCAACCACAGCCGCGCAAGACGCTACTGCCGCACCGCACTCGCCGATCGGGAGGCCCCCGTGGGCACGCACCAGAGGTCACTCTGGTGAGTGGTCACGCTGACGTCTGGTCGACAACTCTACACCGACACCAATCCTGCGCAGGCCCACGCTGGGCCCAGGATCGGCGCACACGCCTCCTGGCTTCGCCAGGGACACGTGCACACCACGCGCACAGTCGGTTTAACAACTTGCAAGAGTTTCACGGACAGCCATGGTCAGCGTACCAGAAATGGTGTTTTGGATTGATTCAGGATGGTGAGGGTGCAATAAACGGCTACGTTGGTTCGCGGCGTTTGAAGCCCCAGGAATGGTGTTCTGGCACGGCTCAGGGTCGTCAAGGCGCAGCAGTCAGGTTGATCCGTGACGTTGGAGTCCCGAGGATGGTGTTCTGGCATGCTTTATGGTCTTCAAACGGTTGTCTCCCAACGAGGCCGTTCCCTCAGTGGACATGAACCCTTGTAGGGGCATGTGAAGAAGGAGCTTCGAGGGAGGGTTCATTCCAACATCGTCGATGAGTCTTAGGTTTTGACTGGTCCCCCTCCTGCTCCTCTCCTCCTCCTCCTCATCATCATCATCCTCCTTCTCCTCAATATCATTATCACCCTCACCATCATCATCATCATCATCATCATCATCATCATCATCATCAGCAGCAGCAGCAGCAGCATCATCCTCATCATCATCGTCATCATCGTCATCATCAACGTCGTCGTCGTCGCCATCGTCATCGTCATCGTCATCGTCATCAGCATCATCATCATCATCATCATCATCATCAGCATCATCATCATCCGCAGCAGCAGCAGCAGCACTAGCATCATCCTCATCGCCATCGTAATTTTCATCGTCGTCGTCATCGTCATCAGCATCATCATCATCGTCATCACTCCTTCTCCTCATTCTCCTCCTCCCAACCATGTTCCGTCCAAACTCGGTCCCCAGACCTTCCCCATGGTCCGTCCCGGCAAGCCTTCTATCCCTGATCGCTCTTTGACGGCCCAGGGGCGCGAAACGGAACCGCAGAGGCCGAAAAAAGCGAACAGCTGACTGCTGGACCATGACCGGACATTGAACGAAAGTGCACTCTCCCCGCAAACAACAACAAATCCGCCGGCCCCCTTGCGAGGCCACCAGGCTGTAGGCCGAGAATGTGCTGCTCCCTGTACCAGTTGCAACTTCCAGCTTCCTCTGTTACAGTTCTGCTTCTTGCTGCTTACTGTTCCTTGTTGATGAACGCGTGAGGGGGGGGGAGCCCAAACCAGCAGAACTACCACGCCCTGGGAGGGTTCTCAGAATTTCTGGGGGGTACAAATTGACACCCCTCAAGCAGATCCGTAGGGTCAGGGTCCAAAAAACACATGGGATTTGCCACATTTCTGAAATCCGGTGACAACCCTGACGCAGATCCGTAGGGTCAGGGCCCAAAAAAACATGGGATTTGCCACATTTCTGAAATCCGGTGGCACCCCTCACGCAGAACCGTAGGGTCAGGGTCCAAAAAACAAATGGGATTTGCCACATTTCTGAAATTCGGTGGCACGGGTCAGGGTCCAAAAACACAAGGGATTTACCACATTTCTGAAATTCGGTGGCACCCCTCACGCAGATCCGCAGGGTCACGACGTCTTACCAACCGCCAGGTGTGGTAACCCCTCTGGTGATCAATTGGTTTTGCTCATTACGAGTCGGCCTCGCATGAAGTTCAGATACTGCTTCACGACAGCGCCCAGGCCTCATGACATAGCTTTTGCATAGCGCATTCTCCGAGAGAGGGGGCCGGCGGCAGAGGGCGAAGCCCTTTCGGATTAACACAAGGCAAAACATACATTAAAACGACACACACACGCTTTTGACGTCCCGGCCCTGCGCGCGGCGGCAGGGCGTAGGTCGGAAAACAGCAAATCGCGCGCGCGAGCGCGCCTAAACCTGCCCGAACACTCAGAGACCACTTAGGGCCTCGCAGCCGCCAGAAAAACACACACACACACGAACAAACAAACAAACAAACAGACAAACAGATGCAGCTGTGAATACAGCCAGGCAGATGTAAACTAGTCCAACAACAAGGCTAAGGCGTGTGTGAGAAGGACGAAACGGCGTTGCTGATGGGGTCGCGAAGTTCGGCCGTGACCGGTTACATAAACCGTTACGGCTGATCTGCGCGTCTGCCGGCGCGGCCCTTGGAAGCAGCAGGCGGCAGGGCCTTCGGTGGAGCTCCCTATGGAGCCACGAAGCGTGTGAGGGGTGTGCCACAATGGGCGGTGTCGCGTATGCGAGCCCTGCCACTGGGGCCTTCGGTGGAGCTCCTTATGGGATCCCAGAGCGTGTGAGGGGTGTGCCAACATAGGCGGACGGCATAGGCAGGGATAGGAGGTGGAGGCGGAGGGGGAGGAGGAGGAAGAGGAGGAGGAGGAGGAGGAAGAGGAGGAGGAGGAAGAGGAGGAGGAGGAGAAGGAGGAAGAGGAGGGAGGAAGAAGAAGGAGGAGGGAGGGGGAGAAGAGAGGAGGAGGGAGGAGGAGGAGGAGGAGGAGGAGGAAGGAAGGAGGAAGAAGAAGAGAGGAGGAAGAGGAGGAGGAAGAGGTGGAGGAGGAGGAGAAGGAGGGAGAAGAAGAAGAGGAGGAAGAGGAGGAAGAGGAGGAGGAGGAGGAGGAGGAGGAGGAGGAGGAGCAGGAGGATAAGGAGGAACGCGCGGTGCTGCTAATTCAAAACGAAGACCCAACACCACAAGATGGTTGGGGCGGCGGCGGCGCGCCTTTGATGCTCTGCCCGAGCCGGCTGGCGCTGGTCCGGTGGGCAGTCATCAGCTCGAGATGCTGTTTGAAGACGCCCGCCAGGAGCGCGCCGAGCTCCTGCGGCGCCGCGTCGGGAGGGGCGGGCGGGAATTCGGGACAAGACGAAGCCCGAAGGAGGGGGGGACGGGAAACGGGGAGGAGGAGGAGGAGGAGGAGGAGGAGGAGGAGGAGGAGGAGGGAGGAGGCGGAGGAGGAGGAGGAGGAGGAGGCAGAGGAGGAGGAGCAGAGGAGGAGGCAGAGGAGGAGGGGAGGAGGAGGAGGAGGAGGAGGAGGAGGAGCAGGAGAAGGAGGAGGAGGAGCAGAAGCAGCAGCAGCAGCAGCAGCAGCAGCAGCAGTACGGAGAAAGGAAAAGGGGGAATAATAGAAGGAAGAAGAAGATGAAGAAGAAGAAGAAATTGAAGAAGAAGGCGAAGTTTGACGAGCGAGGGGAGGAGGAGGACGAGGAGGAGGAGGAGAAGATGAGGAGGAAGAGAATGTTGTCATGCTGGTCGCTCCTGCTTGTCTCCTAGAAGGGCGAGAAGGCCCCTGCGCTTCCCGCAGACGGCCACCGGCAGCGTGCGGAGTCGGACCCGCCGGCGGCTGAATTCGTGGCGACAGCGGCACGCTGCAGCCTTCCTCATCCTGGCCCCCCTCCTCCTCCTCCTCCTCCTCCTCCTCCTCATCCTCCTCCTCTGCGAGTTACTCAGGAGTTACGGCGTGAGGGGGTGCTGCTAAACTTGTCTAATAAGACGTCATGGTTTAGCAGGGAAGCTAATAAGGGTGGTGTACCAGTGACCAGGCACGGCCTATGCTGACGACTCTGGCTTTGTTCTCATTGCTGAGTCTGCTAAGTTTATGTTTCAAAGCTGCTGACATTATGCAAGATCATACTTGACGCTGAAGCTCCTGTACGACTTAGGCCCCACGTGGAGCTAGGGAAGACGGAAAACACACCAGCTCTTTAGGGCGTGAGTGTTTAGAGCGGTTCGTCTTGCAACCCCCTTCTTCCCCTTCGGGGAGGGGTTCATCCCTCCCCCGATCCCCTACCTCTGGGTCTGGAGGGGAGGGGTCGCGAGGCATTGGAGCGTGCTAAAGTAGCCTCGGCGAGAAGGCCTAAATCATTGATGTTACTCACCTGTTGGGCCCATTGTGGCCTCCAGGGGGGGGCTAATCTACACACAACCCCTTCTTTGATCGATCACCTCCAAGATGGCCCTAGGATGGCCCCCGAGGCTCCCGAGCGCCCCAAATCGGCCCCAAGAGGCGCCCAGGAGGCCACAAGAGGCCCCCAAGATGTCCCCAAGATGCCCAAGAGGCTCCCGAGAGAACCTTAAGAGGCCCCCCGGAGCCACTCAAGGCGCTTCAAGAGGCCCCCCGGGGCTGCCAACAGGCCCCAAAGAGGCCCCAAGAGGCCCCCAGGGGCAACCCAAGACGCCCCAACAGGCCCACAAGAAGCTCTCGAGAGACATCCGAAGAGACTCCGAGAAGCATCCAAGAGGCCTCTGGCCTTTCTGTTTGGCCTCATCCTCCTTTTCCTCGTCCGCCTAATCCTCCATTCCTTGTCCTTTGAACTAACATCTCCCTGTCGCACCCCGAGGCCAATCTTTAGGGCGGGCCGGGCGTTTCGCCAGAGAATCCCTCACCATTTATGACCCTGAAGCTAAAACATTGGCAACAAATTCACAGATGGAGGTCAGGTCGTTTTCAAAATGTGGGTCTCGCCTTAGCGCCGCGGACATTTGTTATACAAACGTACAAGAGCTTCACGCATTGAGGGCGGCCCGTTTTCAAAATGTGGCTCTCAGCCTAGCGCCGCGCACATTCGCTTTAAAAATTGCAAGAGTTTCACGGATTGAGGGCGGCTCCTTTTCAAAATGTGGCTCTCGCCTTAGCACCGCGCACATTCGTTATTTAACGTTGCAAGAGTTTCGCGGATTCTCATGATCAGCGTACCAGAAATAATGTTTCGGAAGGATTCAGGATGATGAGGGTGCAACAGTTAAGTTGAGCTGCGGTGTTGAACCCCAGGAATGGAGTTCTTGAAGATTCAGGATCGTCAAGACGCAACAGTCAGGTTGATCCATGGTGATCTTATCCAATCCATCTTATCCCATCCAATCCAATCCACCTTCATTTTTGTCGGCGCCTGCGGCGGGCTTTCTTATCCAATCCAGCTTATCTTGTCCAATCCATCTTGTCCAATCCAATCCATCTCATCTGATCCAACCCATATTGTCCCATCTTATCGTATCCCACCCAATCCGATGTCCCATTCTATCTTGTCTTATCCCACCCAATCCAGCCCAGTGACAGGCTGGAGGTCAGTCAGGGTGGGCAGTTGATCTCAATCCCCCCCAAACCTCCTTATCGCCCGCAGGGCGGTCGCATAGGTATCAGATACTGTTCTACAGCATCACAGGATGGTGCAGACAGATGTTTGCTTCGTTCCCAGAGTCTATTCAAGAGGAATTCCCAAATCCATTACCATCCGACGTCGAGTGGCCTGTCACGAATAGGATCCTAAGGCGACAGGTCTTAACTGCGAATCGTCCGCTCGGTCAAATGAGGCCAGACAATGTGCAGTATTCGATTGGGATCCTGTTGCAGACGCACTTGCGTTCAGTCGATACGTTAAGAGAAAGGAAAGGGGGCCTCTCCAGAGCTGACACTGTGCAGGTTTGAGCCCGCCACATCAGAGCCCGCAGAGTACTGGCCTTAGGGGGTGTGGGAGGCCTGCGAGACGTGTTCGACAGCTCGGTGGCGCAAAGAAGGCTCCCCTCCGCTTAGGACCTGGCAGGCACCTTGGGGCCTTTCGGCATAGACCCCCAGGCAAAGACTCCAGGACAGGATTTCCAATGACCTCTTTTAGGCCCATGTGGAGGAGCTCGTGGTAGAAATATCCTTGTGCGGGGAGGGGGGAGGATGGATGGAGCACCCTG